GCCGCAAGCCGAGCTAGCGGGGGCAATCCCCCCCCGAGGTGTTCAAAAGCGGGACCGAGCCACCGTGGGCCCACGGCCTCGAGCGGTACCTGACCTGGCCACAAGGCCTCACCAGGGCCAGCGAGAAACTCGGAAACGCAAAGTCACAGCCCCCGACTGTGGAACCAGCCTGGCACACATAGGGTGGGAGGGTTTGGGATATTCATCTATGCTGTGATCCAGCCCCCCTGTTTTATTTCAAAACCCCCGGTCTAAATATTTCTCTGCTCTAAATCCTGAGGAAGACGAGAGAGGACAGGGGGGCGCATCAACACGCCGCCAGCACGCTTCGGCTATTTCAACAGATAGGGCCCCACGGCCACACAAAAGCGAAAGCTGAGCATCCAGCACGAGAGAAAGGCCATCACGGCTCAAGCGAGGCGCCTTCCTTGCGCCCGTGACGGGCACGGGCTGCGGCGCTGGGGCGGCCCGTCGTCAACGCCCGCCCGCCGTCGAAGTTCGGGAGTTCGACCTCCTGGCCACGCGCCCGCCCCAGCTCCTCCAGCAGGCGCCTCGCCAGAGGGGTCTGAGCCGCGGGCGACTCCTCGATGAACGACCTCAGCGCCTCGGCCGGCGCCGCCCAGAAGCGGGCGCCTGCCCGCGCCTGCTCGTCCGTCATCCTGCTCAACTTATTGATGAGAATGTGAGTCCTGGTGTAGCGCGCCAGCGCCGTTGTCGATTGCCACCTGCCCATGCGCCGCGGGGCCACCAGACAGCCGCCTCCCGCCACGAAGCCGGCCGCCCCCGAATACCGAATGGCGCGTGGGAGGCCCATGCCGGCCAGCCCCACCTCGCCCAGCGCCTTGCGCCACTCGCGTCTGGACTTGTCCTGCAAGATGGGGAAGACGAGGCCCCTGCTGGCACCGCCCCGCATCGGGGCCCGCACCGCGGCACCCGTCACCGGCCACGAGATCACGACGCCCTGGTTCGCGCACGTCTTGACCCCCCCCCTCTCGCGCCCGCCGAGGGTGAAGGCCAGCTGGCCGCCAGGCCCCTCGGACGCGTCCTCGGCCCTGAGCTGGCCCCAGAGCCATCCGCCCAGCTGCGCGAGCACCGCCGAGCCCTCGATCAAGCCGCACGGGGAACAGTCTGCCGATCACCAGGCCGACCGCCTCCATGGGAACAGGAGCGCCTTCGCACAGCTGCCCAAGCCGCTGCCGCGACTTCAGGGCCCTCGCCGATGTCGGCAGCCGGTCACGGTGGTCCTGGAAGACATGCGTGAAGCCATTGAACAGCATGTTGGCGCGCCCGAAGCCCAGCTGCCGCACGTCACACATGTCCGAGATGTGGTCCGCCAGCGCCTGGCCCCTCGCCTCAAATGTGGTGAAATCGAGCTGGTTTCTCTTGACGTCCACCAGGAACTCGCGGACCGCCTTCTGGTAGGCCAGGTTGGTCGCGTCGTCCACTGCGTGAATGACCAGGCGATTCGCGTGGGGCAGCTTGTCTCGCTGCGCCTCGCCCCAAGCCCGCGCCCCCTTTTTGGCCAAGGGAGGCGGCGCGATCGCCCTTTGATCGGGATGCGCGCGGGCTCTGGCCGCCTTGGTCACTGACGGCCCCTCCGCGCGCCACCAGCATCCCGAAGGCTACACATGCCGACCCAGCCACTGCACCCTGACGATCTTGACGATGATTTAAGAGCCGCTGGAGTCGTTGCGGGACGCATCGGGCCACATGGAGCTCGTTTCCCCCGCCGCACCGATGGGTAGCCCCCTCGAAGGCCCGTCCGCCAGATTGAGCTCCGACGGCACCCAGCGGCAGTAGCCCCTGCACCTGCAGACCATCTGGATGATACCCGCGATGCGGCACAGGTGCAGGACGTCCACGGCCGAGGACCGGCCTTTCTGCAGCGAGCCCAGCGACGCCATCGAATACGTGAAAATCAAGATGGTGCGGCCCCAGGCTTGCGATGTCCTGCTCAGGTGCCTCAGGGTGGCCACCACCGTCCGCAGCTCCAGGATGTCGCTGTGCTCCTGGTGCCTCCGCTTCCCGCAGAACAGGATGCGCCAGTGGTGCATCAACCAGTCGCCCTTCAGCGGGATGGTGGTACCCGTGGCCTTGGCCATCTGTGGCCGACCTCCTCACAGCCTCAGTCTCGCCCCCGCTGGTATCGTCCCCCAGGAAAGCTCGAGCTGCTTCACGATCTCCGCGTAGCACCTGCACAACTCGAGCGGGCACGCACACGCCAACTGTGTCCACCCGAGCCCGCATGGCGACTTGCCCCTCAGCTCCTGGCGTGGCTTTTGGGCGCGGCCGAAGCACTGAAAAGACCCCCTGCACCTCCTCGCCAAGCTGGTCACCTCTTTCACGCTCGCGACGAATGCGGTGGGCTTCTTCCAGATCCCCCCGAACATGCAATAGTCCAGCTCCACCCTCCAGACGTCTACGTTCGCCAAGACCTTGACGAGGGCCGGAAAGGCCCAGATATAGCTGCCAGCCGGTTCCTCCAGCGTGAAAGGTATCGCCATGGTCACACAGATCTTCAGCACCTCCACCGCCACCAAGCACAGCAGGTTCCCCTCCTCGAGCTTCGCCTGACTCGACTCGCCCAGGTCCTCGAAGCCCCAGATGTGCTCTGCTGACCGCAACGGCGGTGCACGCGCCTTCGAAAAAGTAGCGCAGGGGGGCGCGGTGTGCACCCGCCAGTACCAACCTTGGCGAAGCCTCCTCAGCAGCACTTCCAGGTTCTCGCTGACCAGCACGTCGCACCCGCCCCCCTTCCGAAATGCCCCACGCTTCGCCCCAGGAGTCCGCGAGCTCCCTGATGGCGCCCAGCAGCCTCGACGAGCCCGGAAACAATTCCAGCACCCCTGGGCGACCCGCTCGAGGTCGGGCAGGTAGGTCCTCCTCGTCGCCGACTGCCTTCACCCCTCTCTCCACCTCGGCGTGGACCTCCTCCATCTGCGGGCCCCAGAGCCCCTCCGTTCCACGACCTGCCTCTGCCCGTGCCTCCTCGGGGTCGCAGTCGCAAGCCAACGATCCACATCCACTCTCCGAGGCGTCGGCCATGTGCGCACGCGGCCACCAGGGCGCCTCCAAGTCCGACTCCACGTAGATCGAGAGGCTCACCAACGCCAAGAGCTCGCTCTTGACTAACCCGGGCAACCTCCGAGGCACCACAGACCCCCCCCACCTCGCAGCCCCTGATCCACCTGCAGGCCATCATCGTCCACGTCCAGCGGCCCACCAAGCTTGACAGGACAGAAGGTGGGATGTCACCCTCCAGCAGAAGCGCCTCCGTAGCCAGGACCAGCTCCGCAAACTTCTTCGTCTGGACACTCAGCACGCACGGCCTCGTCGCTGGAATCGCGAGCCCAACTCCCCCATTGAGCCCCTCCCCCCAGCCCTCCTTGTGGATGGCGAGGCCCTTCTGGTTCAGAAGCTGCTCCACCCCCTCCTCCGCCTGCAGGATCTCCTCCTCCTCGCCGGGGCCCTTCAGCGTAAAGCCGATATAGTCGTCGATGTACAGCATCAGGATGAGCCTCACCGCGGCCCCCACAGGCGCCACGCCCTCCACCGCCTCGGCCTCGCTCGAGGGAGGATCCCCCTGCTGCGGCGAAGGTCGAATGAAAGAGGCCGGACTACAAGAGCTCGGGGTCGGCTTCCCGCATGCAATGGTCGGCGCCTTCAGGGCCTCGAAACTCGCCTTCAAACATGCATGAGCCAGAAAGACCGCCCAGGCCGAGCCCATCACCAGGCTCGCTGCTCCAAGTCCAATATCCAAGGCCTCGGGCTTCTTGAAGTCAAGCCCCTCCACCTGGCCACACTGGCGTAGCTCCTGCGGCGAGACGCCCTCCACGACGAAGAACTCCGCCAGCTCCGATCCCCAGCGCAGCCGATTGCACCAATCCCACACGTCGCCGTGGAAAGAGAAGAGCCGTCGCCCACGCAAGATGGCCTCGTCCAAATCCAGCAGAGCCAAGCCTGCGGGGCTCCCAAGCGGCACCCACGGCGGTTCGCGAAAAAGAACGTTGACATTCCTGCAGTCCCAGCTCAGGCGACTCTTCAACACTTCCACTGAGTCGGGGTCGACGTCGTTGGCCACCGTGAACCAGTCCCACCTTCTCCCGCACCTCCTTCACGTAGTCCAGCATCCCCGCTTAGTACATGCGGGACAGGAGCTCCAGTCTCTCGGCCTTGCTCTTCGGCGCCGCGTCCGAGTAGCTCTTCGTGGTCTCGTATCGCTCCCAGTCCACCTCGCCTGCGCTCTGGATCACCAGCTTCTCGAACGAATCGATGTAGCTGCGCGCGCAAGCCGACAAGTCCTGGACACGAACCGGCGTCGTCCCTGGGCTGGGTAGTGAGACTTGCCCGGCTCGGAGGGGGCAGAGATCCCCCTTCTTGAATATCGTCGCCTTCTTGCTGTCCTCCTTCCTCTTCACCGTTGTAAAATAGCCGCGGCCCGTCGTCTCCTCGAGGCGGCTCAGAGCCACCTTCCCGTCGTTGATGTTGCCCCAGCTCGCCCGAGTGGCGCGCGGGTCCCAGATGTCGCTGATGGTATTATTCTGGAGCGGGCTGCTCGCCGCCCACGCCTCCTTCGCTTCCTCCACCGTCTTGAGGGGGGGCGGCTGCAGCCAACCCTTCGCACGGCCCACGGCCATGCTCCTAATTCCCGAGATCGCCCTCGCCACCCTTCTCCAAGTCACGCGCAGGCTGACGGAGCTCAGCCTGGCACTCGATCTTCTTGTAGTCATAGGGAAAGGGAGGCTTGGCAAAGTCCTCCGCGGGCCTCGCTCCCGAGGATCCATTGGCGACGTCCAGGGCGGGCCTCACCTGGTGACCTGCACCACGACGCACTGGTTGACCAGCTTGCAGAAGAAGAGCCTCAGGGAGATCCACGTAGACCTCCTCCGACTCGAAAATCGCCTGGACAAGGAACTCCTCCCAGGCAGGCTCGCAGAACACCCAACCCAGCAGGCCCACGAGGAGCCCGACCCAAATGGCGGTGCGCGGCGCGCGAGCAGCGGCCGTCGACCCGCCCAAGCCGCGTCGATCGCACCAGCCGCAACCTATTCGCTGTCCGCACCGCCTCCCCCTCCACCACCTGGGCTCCAGTGC